GCAAAGACAATTCCATTTTCTGTAATATGGTCCCTTTATTATCACCCTGGCTGGCCATCTTATGCTTAATTCCTTTTCTTCTTTCCCAGCTAGACCTAGTCCTGTTATATCAGTTCCTATGTGCTGCATGGAAAGTTCGCTCCCTCCTGAAAATCTTAGTACCTCAAAATTATTTTCTGCAGCTTAGTCTTTGAGATTTTACCCCATTTATTTTCAATTTCCCAACTGGAGAACGATTAAGCCTTCTGATCTTAAATCCGTGTGTAAGTAGCACGGTCTGAACGGCTTCACTTTATTACGGGAGGGAGGAAGATGGTCAGTGGCGCATGTAGCTCTGCTGCAGAATTTGTTCCCATATTTGCTGATTCTCGTTGTGGGTTTGTGGCCAGAAAATGTCTTCCAGATATGCTGGCAAACTCGGATGAACTCGTCGACTTCAAAGACCTCATGAGGAAATCTCTCTCTCTCTCTCTCTCTCTCTCTCGCTCTCTCTCGCTCCCTCTCTTTTGGTTGTTTTAGCTAATATTATCTGAAATAAATTTTATATTTCTCTTCAAGCTGCCAAGACTGGCTGCTTTTTAAAAGAAGCATATCAGCATAAAGAATATTTGTGTGGGCAAATATTCTTCACATTCAAATGCTAGAGCTAGTCTCAGGACAGAGTTCATAGCTATGATGGTGAAAGTACTTCCCTTCATCCTTTGGGCCAAATGTTCTTTTCAGGTTTCTAAATTGCTACTTTGTTTGGTTCGGTCCTGCAGGGTTAGAAGGTTTTGAAGTCATTCTGAAGATGCCAGAGCAAGAAATAAACAGTAAGAGGCAGAATGACTATTGGAGGCAATGAGATACAGGAGGAGCAGTATATGTTGTTGTTATTGTGGTAAATTATGTAACAGTACATTTTTCTCAGTACATTGTGGGTATTGTCAGTAATTCTAAACACTTAACAACTGCATGGATCATAAAAAGACAAATCATTGAGAGCCTGTAAACAACAACCAGTCTACAGTCACTACATAAACGACATAAGTAACTGATTTGGTGTCAGCCTGTTGTGGTCTTATTTATTTTATTTTCTACCAGTTAGTCAATGTTTTTTCCCATTTCTCCTTAATACTGTTCTTCATAATTTGCTTTTGGAAGACAACTTTACAACTTTTGAAAACTTCAATGGACACTCCCTGTATTGTGCAAAAGCTTCCCAGGAAAATTGTGAATGAGTGTGACTGCAGTATAAATGAACTGTTAAGACTAAAATCCTCACTGACATTAAAAAAATGAACCACACCTTTTATTTTCCCCAAATCTTCTACTTCAGTAACTCCTACTGCTACACTCCCCAATGCTCCTCATCACATCAGTGTGAATGATCATATCTATGTGTTCATAGTTTGTTACATCACAATCATGAATAATTCACAGTGAACTGTTTTTGCAGCTTAGCTTCGCCATACTGTTGAATTTTGAATGCCACTGGTCAAATTCCATTGTTTGTTTGTTTTTTTTGTCTAAGTTAAATTAAAATACATGCTCTACAGTAAACGAACTTAAAAACGGCAAACTGTACAGTTTCTATTTGTTTGCCTATACTAAAATATTGTGAAAATATAAAACATAGAATATGCCATAAGTTTTGTCACATTTTATAATTTACAAACCACGTTTTGAGAAAACTTGGGACATTTTATAAAATGCAGTAACCAAGAATCTGTGAATTGTTAATTCTTTTGAAACTTTATTGAACTGACAAAAGTGCAAAGAAATTACTTTTAATGTTTTGGTTGACCAGCTTGATTGTGAATTGTAAATATAAACAAATTTTATTTTTGATGCCTGCGCCACGGTCAACCGCTGTTGATTGTGCTTGACTTTCAAGCTTCCCGAAAGCATTGCGTAAGAAACCGTGAAATATAGCCACATAAGTTTGGGAGTACTTTTGAAAACCGTTGTCACTCAACACAGTCCACCATGGCATCAAGAAATGCAACTTGAAATTCTGTTACTCAAGGAATAAACCGTACATCAGTTCTACCCAGCCGCTGAGTTCTCTGGGCCTGAACTCACTGGAAATTTGTGCTGTTGGCAGATGAGACCTTTTTTTTTGAGAAGAACAGACATCAAGTTCTCTGTACCAAAGACGAAAGGGACCACCCAGACTTTTTTGCGAAAAAAGCAAAACATCTGTCATGGTATGGGGTGCATCAGTGCCCACAGCATGGGTGTCTTGCATATGTGTAAAGGTGAAAGAGGCATATGTTGGTGTTTTAGAGAGACACACGCTGCCATCAAGACATCTTTACCTAGGAAGTTATTTCAGTAAGATAATGCCAGGCCTCATTCTGCATGTGCTACAACAGCGTGGCTTTGTAGACACAGAGTGTGTATGCTTACCTGGCCTGCCTGCAGTCCAGACCTGTCTCCTTTCATAAATTCATAGAGCATCATGAAGAGGAGAGTTGGAAAACAACGGCCACGGACTGCTGAGCAGCTGAAGTCTTGTATCAAGCAAGAATGGGCAAAATTGCAACAAATAGTATCCTCAGCTCCCAAATGATTAAGAAGAAAAAATAATATAAAGGAAAGGTGATGTAGCACAGTAGTAAACATGCCTCTGTCCCAACTTTTGAGTGTGTTGCAGGTATCAAATTCTAAATTTGTTTATATTTACAAAATACAGTCTTGGTGTTTTCTGTTGTATATGTGTACTTATTCTCACAACATATGTAATTTGACCCGGGGCACCCAGATTTGTGCATATGAGTGTATATGTGGACTGTATAATCTGGGTCAGTGTGGGATCAGTATGTTTTGAGTCTTTCAACAACACTTCCATATCATCAAGCTTCTTTCAAGCTCTTTTATTTGAATGGATGGGTGAATGGATGCATGGAGGAATGAAAGAACAAATGAAAGAATGACAGTTTGGTTTTACACCCCTCCCCCACCTGTTATCCTCCATTCTATTCCTGCTCTTTTGCTACCCTTCATAAAATCATTGTGTCATCGTATCATTGTTTTTCATCATCGTATTAGATGTGGCGTTATTGTGCACATATATTTTGCACTTCATATAACTTTATTGCAAACCTCAGAAAAAATAAATACCGTGATTGTGAAAATGTTTTCAGGTATCGTGATGCTATATTGCCCACTCTTACGTGAGATAAGAAGGAGAGGGTAAGAAAGGACTAGGTAAAAGGACAAGCAAGCGATAGAGTACTTAGCAAGGCTGAAACAGAGCAGGCTAGCGTTGCATTAGCATTCGACCCAAATTCCGCCCATCTTCGTCCACCTCCTCCTCCTCCTCTTTTTCTTTGTGCGTGTCTGAGGCTGTGCCAGGTTGGATGAGAGTAGTAGCATGTGTGTCCAGCTACCAGATTCCAGCAGTTCAGCTCAGCTCAGATTAGCCTAATGTGCGTGTACCACCGCAGCAGCAGCAGCTAGCTGGGTTTGAGCCAGCACAGTCAGGCCCTGATTTCCTTTGGGGGGAAAAATGTGTCTGCCACTGTCTCTGAATTGTCATTGCTTGTGTATACTGCAGAGAACTGTAGTGTAACCTTAAAACCTTAAACCACACTCAGGTAATTCACTTATAGGACAAAAATTCAACAGAAGCAAAATATTAACATATTAGTGCTGCAATAAAGCGATGATGGTAGAAATAAAGTTAGCAACTGTAAACGAACTGAAGTAGTGATAAAAAGGCAGATATAACAATTAATAAACACTGTATTTTGGGCTAAAATGAAATGCAAAATATCTGAATTGAGAGGAGTTAACATCAAAGAAGTCAGAAAGAAATTAAAGAATTTCCTTTTTTCACAAGCATACTTAAGTATGAGTAAAACATATCATTTAAAAGAGTGCGAATCCATCAAATTTCTTATGTCTACATAACTGAATACAACAGTTATCCACCTCTGGTGTACTGTATGTGTTTTCTTGCTGCATCATTGACAGTCTATGTGTGTGCAAGTGTGCAGAGGTTATCTTTCATGTCACACTCCCTTCTGACAAGCACAAACACACGCAGCGGTGTCCTCACACTCCTGTCAGAAGCAACTGCACAGTTGAATGTTCTCATGATATTTGATCTAGCGTGACAGCTCGTCTAACCCTGAATGTGCGAAGAAGATTGTACAGCACAGCTCCGTCTATTGTTCTCACGAATAATGAGGGATAACCTACAGCAGCTCTGCCAGGCTTCACCTCAGGCCACTGTGTAGGACAGCAGTTAATAACAGCTGTAAGCTGATCGTTCCGACAAAGAGAGACTATAAAACATGAAAAAGCTAAGTGTTCTGAACATAACTTCCCAAAACTTCCTTTAAAATGGCAAAGATTTTCACCTTTACTTTTCAGTTCATCCATGAATAAATAATAATAGTTTTGTTGACATAAAATGGCTGTTTATCATTCAATACATTTAACAACTATTTACCTAAAATGTATGTTCTGCCACGTTTTATTGATTTATTTTTGAAAACAGATTCAGTCCTAAAATCTAGTTGGCACTTACTGCAATCTAAAAAAGTGTATTGCATGTTGCTTGAATGCCTTAAATGCTTTAAATATTTGTGTTTTGTGGGGAAAATTAATGCGTGGTGCCATTAGCTTGATGCTAACAAATCACATAACAAACAGCTAGAGGAGCTAACGCAAGTGGAAATAAGCATTCATGGTGGAGGGGTACATGCAGGACGTTGTAAGGCAAAAAAAAAAGAAAACTTATTTTTTCAGATTTACCACTTTTTTCTACTGTGTTTCATCATTACATATAAAAAAACTAGATGCGTATGGGTTCTCTGGTGGTTTTGGATAGTAAATAAAATGGCAATATATGTGACATGGCAATGCCTGGTTCCTCTACAATGTACCATTTCACCTTGGACCACTCTGAATGACTCTGTTTACAGGTCAAGGACTGAATTCCCCTTTAAGCTGCAGAGCGGTTCCTCACCTATTATTAACTCTTTCTTTCTCTCTTTCTCTCTCTGTAGGACCCAGGCTATTGGATCCAGGTTCACCGCTTGGAGCATGGTGATGGAGGCATCCTGGACTTGGATGATGTGCTGTGTGATGTAGCTGATGATAAAGACAGGGTGAGTGTGCTGCTTTTAGCAGAGCAGTTATCCTAAAATGTGCTCTTTGCTGGCTTCGGTATGCTTGGTGTGAGTTTTTTTTTCTCTCATTAAGATAAGGATAAGTGCTTCCAAGTGAAGATGTTTCTGTTCTACCTGCAGTGTGTGGAGTTGAATATGACGAGTGTTTGCTCTGGTGACTGAAGAGTTGCATGCAGAACTCTCTTGCAAACCAATCAAATATTTACACATACCTTGTTAATGTGGACCCTGTTCCCAAGCAGGGGAGAGAGCGAACAAGATAAAAAAAGAGGGGTCCAGTTGAAATGGGCCGCTCTCCTGTGTTTCCTTGATTTTTGGTTTTCTTGTTGTTGCCGGATGCATGCCATCATCATTCTACTGTGTTTAGGAATAGCCAGGATGTGGCTCATGCAATGATGGTTATCTTATTACTTCCTGCCCTAATTTTCCTTGAGTTGTTGTAACACATTGGATTCCGTGTGTGTGAGAGTGAGTGTATGTCAGTGACTAAACATAGGGGTGTGTGTGGTGTCACAGGGTGAATGATGCTGGGCTGATTTGTCTTCTGTCAGACCACTCTCTCGTGCTGGTAGTCTGTTGGATTGAATGTTTTTCTCTGGTGTGGTGGCTGTTCAAAGCACAGTCATGAGACTTCTAGTATGATGTCATCAGTTAGAAATGGTTTGAAGTTTACCACTGTCTTTGAATCATTGGTCCAGTATGTATGTCCTCCCAAGAGCAATTGGGTAATTTGTAATGTCAGGTACAAAGTGTTTTTTTCAACAAAAGCTACATGTTTCATTTTTATTATTGAAATACTAAAACCATTCATTCTTTAGCTTGTAGGTTAAGGTTAGGTTTAGAAAAGTAAGCTTCTTTTTAGATAGAAAGTTTGGAAATACTTGTGATATTAGTGATTGCTGTTATTTTATTCAATATAAACGTACGCAGTGTAGACTGATTTTTTTATTATTTATTATTATTATTCTTTTTATGATACATCATAATACATATTGGGCATTAATGTGCACTTCCTCTGAGCTGGTACATGTTGAGTTGTTCTGTCTGGAAGCTAATTACTCTGTCCAGTCCTGCTGGGCTCCCTCCGGCAGCTAGCATGCAAATCAACTAGCGATGATCAGTTGGCTCAGCATCGGCTTTTTCTGCTTGTTGGTTTGTGCTCATGTGGGTTTCATGCAAGTCTTGTTTGTTCAAATTCATATTTTATAAGAGGTCCGAACAGCACCAAACGAGCGGAAACGTGCCTTTGAGTGAGGCGAGTGCTAGCGTTTAAAATGTCATTTTAAATGCATTAGGGCTGCCAAACTGTAGGCCTCTGTAGTGTGTTATGCAACTCTGAATACATCACCCCTAAGAACAGCGGGGACGCCTTCTGGGCTGCTGCCCATTGCTGTCTGAAGAAGAAATTAGCCTGGCAGTGAATGAGCAGAAGGCTTCCATGCATTTCGGAGCTTGTGAAGATGATGTGCTGTAGCATGCTCAGTGGGTGAGGACATTGTGGCATTCAGCCTAATGTATCTCTGCAAAAGTGCTTTCATCATTTAGGGGAGGGCAGTATGGCCACAGTGTAATATCACAATACTAGTTATTTTGGTGCGTTGTTTCACATACTGCAATACTACAGTAATGTCTATAGAAACACTCTCTTTTCTTTTTGTTTTCAGAATCATTACACACCTACTTTTTACATGAAGATTCATATTTTAATATCTCCTACTGCTCTCTCTCCAATAATAAACAGTTGGATACATTTTGTTTTGTTTTTTTTTATTTTGTTTTTTTTGTTTTTTTTTTGGCTAGCTAGTTTTGTTATATATTGTTAAGGCAGTCCTTTTAAAGGCTCTCTATCTTATCTTTTCTAAGAAAGTATTTTATAATCTTTAAAAAATTGTGCAGATTTCTTTAAAGTCAATTTTCATTGTTTAGAAAATCAAAAAATAAAAATAACTTTATTAACTCTTAGAAAAGTCTTGGGTACTTGATTAGCTGTACTAATATAGTTGATAGTGAAAGATATTAGTATCTTACGTATGGGTCAGACAGGTGAAAAGGTGAGAAGGTCACAGATAAATGTCTTACCTCTGTGGATAAACAGATTGAATGTGAACACGCAGGGGTGTGTTCTGCAAATCGTGGCATTAACCTTGGGTGTCTGTGTATGTTAGCTGTGTATACAGATGAGAGACAGGAATTCATACAGGTGTGAGTTTGTGTGTATTTTTGAGAGCTGTTCCTCTCATCCTGGGAAAAGTGGACTCTTTTATTTGCCGGCTGCCATGGTAACGTGTCTGCTAGGAATTGGGGACACAGACACACACACACATCTGCAGCACTGCTGTGCGAGATGCCTCTGAGGACTATACCACACCCCCACACTCCTCCTCCCTCTTCATGCTTTTCTTGCCCCCCTTTTCTCTTTTCACACTCTTGTTAGCTCATTCTCTCTTAACCTCACCTCACATCCCTTTCTACTGTGCACTTCTTTATTTTTGCTTTAAAAAAATTCGTCAACATTTTTTAACCTGCTGCATCTGCAGTATATGCTCTATTACTGTGGACACAATTTAGATATGTTTCCATGAATTTAGTATAAGAGCTCAAAACGTGTTCTCTGAAAGAACATTTGTAATTGAAGGCAGTGGGCAGGTGTAGTTGCCAGGGGGCAGATGTGGTGATCTTGTAATGAGAATACTCCTCTGGGAACAGCTTGTTAAACTTTTGCTGGTGGATTGCAGGGAGGTATGCCCCCTCTAAAACCCACCCTCAACTTTGTATAGTCCATACTCGTTCAGAGTTATCGATAACACAAGCAAAACAAGCTGTCTAGAAAACACTATTATTACCTAATGGGGCTGTTCTTCCCTTGCAAGAGGTTATGTTTTATTTGGGCTGACAGGCTTGTTGTCCTTTGGACAATGGTGACAAGCACGCCATCAACTCTATTTTAAGCTTTGTCTTCACAAAGCAATGGATTGATTTTAGAATTTTCATTTTTTTTCCCACCCTAATAGGGCCCACCAACATTTATACATAATGTTTACAATAAATGTCCAGCCAAACAAGACTATGGTCAAGTGTTAAAGCAACTTGTCATTGACTTCTATTGGAAGTGTATTTTGAATCTGAATTTTTTTTTTTAAAAGTACAGGAAAATAAATGTCTATGGCAATTCAACATATTCCACAGATGCTGCAGATGGAGACTCTGGAGTATTAACTGCCCTAACTTCTACTTATTTATAAAGTGAGATTTACAGTTATTGATTGTATGCGGTAATTAGATTTTGCTATGTGAGTACTATGCATTCAAAGCACAGAGAGTTATGTCTTTGTATTGATTTTAAGCTGTTGTTTAGTTAATAAGTCAATAGATGGAGGCAGTCATCATAGATTTTCATTTGCAAATATTAAGTCTTTTTAGCAGCTCCAGTGTGCTTGTAGTTACAAATACAGTGATGTGCTGCCTCATTAGCACACACACCCACACACACAAACTTTGACACTGCATCTGCTCTGGACTGCTCTACTGGTGGTGCATGTGGGTTTGCAGGTTAATTAGTTCCCTGGGTTTCACTTCATGACTCAGTAAGCTTGTTTTGCTAATCAGACACAGTCTGGGAGGTTATTCTGTTAGATCTTTTAATGCAGGTTATCTTGTGGTTACAGAGGCTGTACAGTGCGCTGTTCCTTGTGAGCCCCCTGCCTGTCATTGGAAGTCATTACAGACTGATACGGCTATGAGAAACTGGTTTATTGACCTATTTCCTCTTCGCTGCTGCTCATTTTAATGGATTTTAATCACTTAATCATGCTAGTTTTGAATTGTTTTGGGTTTCTTTTACAATTATCCATGGTAATTTATTGAGAGCTGTACATTGATCTGATAGTAACAATTTTGAAATATTATGATCATTTATATTCATAAATACAATCATTTTCAGTAAAGAAAACACTTATGTTTATGGCCAAAATAACATTTTTGAATGTAATTTTTTTAAAATGCGTAATGTATTTTTATTGTCTGTATCACATTTGTGTATTCAGTAGGTCTATCATGATCTTGAAAATTTAGCTGATGATTGTCATAAAAATAATTGCTATTAACAATTTAATTGTTTTTTCTTCTTTACTGTTTACAACTATTAAAATTCAAGCTTAAAGTGACCGATTCAGCTGATTATCCACCTTACTTGTTAGCTATGTTTACTTAGTAGCTCACACTGGTTGTATGGTTAAATCAATACTGTTGTGCAAGGAAACTCACACACATTTACTTTATGTGCCAGCATACATGCTAAAGCATTAGAATTAGAAGGCATACATGCTAAAATTAGCTACATAGCTAAGAAATAAAAAAAAACGTTACTCAGCACTGCACTCTAAACATGTTAAATAAAAAGTTCGAAACTTTTTTTGTTTTCATAGGTCCCATCGTGTCAAAGTGAAAGCATTTATTGCTTTTTGTTATTTACATATTTGCCTCACCCCAGTGCATTCAGTTCACATTGTTTGTTGCAGCATGATATCAATGTGATATATAATTACTGTGGAGATTATGGCATCAGCTTGAATAATTGCCAGCATCTAAAATAATTGTGATTATGCGATTATGTAGTTGTGACATTCTAAGTTGTACCAAAGTAATGAAACTAAATTCTGGTGAAGTTTGAAATTTAATGATTCATTGAATAATTTCCTGAAGCATCCTAATATCGCTGAATTGCTAAGAGGTCTGTGATATACACCCATATTCATAATGAGCTGTGTGTGCCTGCTGAACACGTTCTTTTAAGTGGTCAGTGGTCAAAGCCGTCTTTAGCAGGGAGCTGTACTGGACTGTGTTTACAGCCTTGAAAGCATCAGTCTAGTAAGAGTTTGAACCAAAATTCCTACATCCTCACTATTGATAGCTTTGCTTTGCTTCATGCCACAATCAAAGACTTCAGAATGGTAAGCAAGTCATAGCCCTGAATTGAATTT